CACTCATATGGACTTCGGAAACAAGCAGGCGTGTCCATACTCATATCAAATAAAATAGATTTCAAGCCAAAGTTAATCAAAAGAGATAAAGAGGGACACTACATACTGCTTAAGGGAACCATACACCAACAAGACATAACAATCATAAATATTTATGCCCCAAACAATGGTGCAGCTATGTTCGTCAAACAAACTCTTCTCAAGTTCAAGAGTCTAATAGACCACCACACCATAATCATGGGAGACTTCAACACACCTCTCTCGCCACTGGACAGATCTTCCAAACAAAAGTTGAATAAGGAAACTATAGAACTCAATAACACTATTAATAACCTAGACCTAATTGACATATATAGAGTATACCACCCAACATCAAGCAGTTACACTTTTTTCTCAGCAGCACATGGATCCTTCTCAAAAATAGATCATATATTATGTCACAGGGCAACTCTTAGACAATATAAAGGAGTAGAGATATTACCATGCATCTTATCTGATCATAATGGAATGAAACTGAAAATCAACGATAAAAGAAGGAAGGAAAAAGCATACATCAATTGGAGAATGAACAATAGGTTACTGAATGATCAATGGGTTATAGAAGACATCAAGGAGGAAATTAAAAAATTCTTAGAGATAAATGAAAACACAGACACAACATATCGGAATCTATGGGACACATTGAAAGCAGTTCTAAGAGGAAAATTCATTGCTTGGAGTTCATTCCTTAAAAAAAGAAAAAACCAACAAATAAATGATCTCATACTTCATCTCAAAATCCTTGAAAAAGAAGAGCAAAACAACAGCAAAAGAAGTAGAAGGCAAGAAATAATTAAAATCAGAGCTGAAATTAATGAAATCGAAACAAAAGAAACAATTGAAAAAATTGACAAAACTAAAAGTTGGTTCTTTGAAAAAATAAACAAAATCGACAGACCCTTAGCGATGCTAGTGAAGAGAAGAAGAGAGAGAACTCAAATTACTAGCATACGGGATGAAAAAGGCAATATCACAACAGACACTTCAGAAATACAGAAGATAATCAAAAACTATTTTGAATCCTTATACTCCAATAAATTAGAAGATAGTGAAGGCATAGATAAATTTCTTAAGTCATATGATCTGCCCAGATTGAGTCAGGAGGATATAGAAAACCTAAACAGACCAATATCAATTGAGGAGATAGAAGAAACCATCAAAAGACTACCAACTAAGAAAAGCCCAGGTCCCGATGGGTATACAGCAGAATTTTACAAAACCTTTAAAGAAGAACTAATACCAATACTTTTCAAGCTACTTCAGGAAATAGAAAAGGAGGGAGAACTTCCAAATTCATTCTATGAGGCCAACATCACCCTGATACCTAAACCAGACAAAGACACTTCAAAGAAAGAAAACTACAGACCAATATCTCTAATGAACCTAGATGCAAAAATCCTCAATAAAATTCTGGCGAATCGGATACAAAAACATATAAAAAAAATTGTACACCATGATCAAGTAGGATTCATCCCTGGGATGCAAGGCTGGTTCAATATACGGAAATCAATAAATGTTATTCACCACATCAATAGACTTAAAAATAAGAACCATATGATCATCTCGATAGATGTGGAAAAAGCATTCGACAAAGTACAGCATCCCTTTATGTTCAAAACTCTAGAAAAACTAGGGATAACAGGAACATACCTCAATATTGTAAAAGCAATCTATGCTAAGCCTCAGGCTAGCATTATTCTGAATGGAGAAAAACTGAAGGCATTCCCTCTAAAATCTGGAACAAGACAGGGATGCCCTCTCTCTCCACTTCTCTTCAACATAGTTCTCGAAACACTGGCCAGAGCAATTAGACAGACGAAAGAAATTAAAGGCATAAAAATAGGAAAAGAAGAAATTAAATTATCACTATTTGCAGATGATATGATTCTATATCTAGCAGACCAAAAAGGCTCTACAAAGAAACTATTAGAGCTAATAAATGAATTCAGCAAAGTGGCAGGATTTAAAATCAACACGCATAAATCAAAGGCATTCCTGTATATCAGCGACAAATCCTCTGAAATGGAAATGAGGACAACCACTCCATTCAAAATATCTTCAAAAAAAATAAAATACTTGGGAATCAACCTAACAAAAGAGGTGAAAGACTTATACAATGAAAACTACAGAACCCTAAATAGAGAAATAGAAGAAGATCTTAGAAGATGGAAAAATATACCCTGTTCATGGATAGGCAGAACTAACATCATCAAAATGGCGATATTACCAAAAGTTCTCTATAGGTTTAATGCAATGCCAATCAAAATCCCAATGGCATTTCTTGTAGAAATAGAGAAAGCAATCATGAAATTCATATGGAAAAATAAAAGACCCAGAATAGCAAAAACAATGCTAAGCAAGAAGTGTGAATCAGGCGGTATAGCGATACCAGACTTCAAACTATACTACAGAGCAATAGTAACAAAAACAGCATGGTACTGGTACCAAAACAGGCGTGTGGACCAATGGTACAGAATAGAGGACACAGAAACCAATCCACAAAACTACAACTATCTTATATTTGATAAAGGGGCTAAAAGCATGCAATGGAGGAAGGATAGCATCTTCAACAAATGGTGCTGGGAAAACTGGAAATCCATATGCAACAAAATGAAACTGAATCCCTTTCTCTCGCCATGCACAAAAGTGAATTCAAAATGGATCAAGGAACTTGATATCAAATCAGAGACGCGCCGTCTGATAGAAGAAAAAGTTGGCTACGATCTACATACTGTGGGGTCGGGCTCCAAATTCCTCAATAGGACACCCATAGCACAAAAGTTAATAACTAGAATCAACAAATGGGACTTACTCAAACTAAAAAGTTTTTTCTCAGCAAAAGAAACAATAAGAGAGGTAAATAGGGAGCCTACATCCTGGGAACAAATCTTTACTCCTCACACTTCAGATAGAGCCCTAATATCCAGAGTATACAAAGAACTCAAAAAATTAGACAATAAGAGAACAAACAACCCAATCAACAAATGGGCCAAGGACCTGAACAGACACTTCACAGAGGAGGACATACAGTCAATCAACAAGTACATGAAAAAATGCTCAACATCTCTAGCTGTCAGAGAAATGCAAATCAAAACCACCCTAAGATACCATCTCACTCCAGTAAGATTGGCAGCCATTAGGAAGTCAAACAACAAGTGCTGGCGAGGATGTGGGGAAAAGGGTACACTTGTACATTGCTGGTGGGACTGCAGATTGGTGCAGCCAATTTGGAAAGCAGTATGGAGATTTCTTGGAAAGCTGGGAATGGAGCCACCATTTGACCCAGCTATTCCCCTTCTTGGTCTATTCCCTAAAGACCTAAAAAGAGCATGCTACAGGGACACTGCTACATCGATGTTCATAGCAGCACAGTTCACAATAGCAAGACTGTGGAACCAACCTAGATGCCCTTCAATAGACGAATGGATAAAAAAAATGTGGCATTTATACACAATGGAGTATTACTCTGCATTAAAAAATGACAAAATCATAGAATTTACAGGGAAATGGATGGCATTAGAGCAGATTATGCTAAGTGAAGCTAGCCAATCCCTAAAAAACAAATACCAAATGTCTTCTTTGATATAAGGAAAGTAACTAAGAACAGAGTAGGGACGAAGAACAGGAGAAGAAGATTAACATTTAACAGGGATGAGAGGTGGGAGGGAAAGGGAGAGAGAAGGTAAATTGCACGGTAATGGAAGGAGACCCTCAGGGTTATACAGTGGAGGGGGTAGAGAGAGAGGAGGGGAGGGGAGGGGAGAGGTGGGGAGGGGGGAGGGTGGATGATGGGAAAGGCAGCGGAGCACAACAGACACTAGTATGGCAATTTGTAAATCAATGGATGTGTAACTGATGTGAATCTGCAATCTGTGTATGGGGTGAAGGTGGGAGTTCATAACCCACTAGAATCAAAGTGTGGAATATGATATGTCAAGAAATTTGTAATGTTTTGAACAACCCACAATAAAAAATTAAAAAAAAAAAAAAAAAAAAAAAATTTTATTTTTGCCATGCGGGGCATTGAACTTAGGTCCTCACAATAGCTCTGCAATTGAGCTATATCCCCAACCGAAAGGATGCTTTTTAAAGAGAATTTAAGTTATTTGGATAATTTCTTTTTAACATGCCTATCTTCTATATGGACTTATGGAAGTCTAAATGTAAATATACTTTCCAACAGTAAGATCATAAATTTAACACTCACTTAGAGTTAATATTCTGCATTCAGTTTTCAGGAAACCAGCTGTTTTACACAAACAGTAATTATTTCTCGCAACATATTAGTGATAACAAGGGAGACTAAAATTAGAAAAATAGCTTTTAAGTATCCTATTGAGAAAAGCACCATTATTTTCATGTGCAACAGACAGGTTTTTAATTAAAGTATTTTTGGAAGGATAATACATGTATATGGTATGAAATTCAAAGGGACAAAGAAGCACATGGGAAAAGTTTCTTACTCATTGTCTTCCTGCTATCTGGTTTCCCTCTCCAGAATCATCACTATTTTCTTGTATATGTTTTTAGAGATACTTTATGCATATACAGTAATATTTGTATGTGCACATATTTTAGTCATGTAGTTCTTAATTAGAATTATTTGTATTTATAATCCTAATTTATTTGTATAAAATTCTGGATATGTCTTAGAGTAATGACTAATTTATGACTTAAGAAAACATTTAAAATGAAATCTTGGCTTAAAAAAATGTGTTTTTTCCTAGGAGTCTTAAAAATAGAAAAATGACTATAAAAATCCAGGTGATTAATTTTAAAACAAATATATAAATTAATTTAAATATGGGCATGGAAGTGTGCCTATTGGTATTAACACATAAAAATAATTACCAAACAAAATGAAAAAAAAAAACAAAAAAAAATAGTCAATCATTAAAAAATGTCAGAAATGAAATAAAATAAAAATTGGATTATAATGTCACTCTTCTGTTTCCTTTTAGGAGTGAACTGGAGTCTGTGAAAGAAGAGCTAAAACAGAAAGGAGATGAAGTTAAATTTAAATTGCACAAGAGCGAAGAAAATGTATGTTATATTTAATAATATGTACTCGGAATCTCAAATCATAAAACACCATCGTTATGTCTTTAAAAAAGTGACATATACTGTTGTGTAAATAAGTTGTGATATGGGGACTGTCTTAAGGCATTAACCTTTTAAAAATATAGGTATAGTATAAATGTATAGATTGTAACTGAAAAAAGTATTATGTTTAGTAATGAATGCTCAATATTTAACATTGATTTACATTTATGGCTAAATAAAAGCCTCATGCTGTGGAATAAACTAAGAAGTTCATGTTATATTTTGGTGAATACAATTTCAACAAGATGTTTTAAAAAGGAGGGCTGTGAATGTGGCAAATGGTAGTGTTTGTCTAGCGTATGTGAGGTACTAGATTCAATTCCAGTACTTAAAAAAACGGTTTTTAGGAAATATTATCACAAATTGGAATTGTACAAAATATGTGACATGATTATACAGTTTAATATATAATATACAGTGGGGCAAAATTATAGCAAAATAGAAAGATCATGCTAGATTATGAAGGCTTTATGTTTTCATTTATTGACAGATATTATTTACACATATTATTATATATGCTTAGCATTTTTCTGGGTGCTGAGCTGTGTTCAGATATCATTTGCTTTGGTAGGACAGTTGTGATTGAATAAAGTCTTTTTTGGGGGGAGAGAATGGAGTAGGTAGAGATGAAAAGCACTAGAATCAGTTGGAAAGCTATTAAAGTTGTCTTGAAAGCTCTGAAAACATTTTTGGGGAAGATTCTGGCCTAGTTCAATTTACTTATTCCTAAGCCAATCATTGTGTCTAGGAGATAGAGTAATGGTTGAAGACTTGAGCTACATACCTGTTCCTGAAGACAAGAGTCAGTCCTCATCAAATTATATGAACTGAGCAGAATTACTGTGGAATTTACAGTAAAGGGGTCCTTGCAGGAATGGGTGCTGGCCAGATCGAAACATAGGCTCCTGTGTATGGATCCTATTAGAACTTATAGAAAGGACATCTAATCCAACCTTAAATCAGGGCAAGCTTCTTGGAGGAAGTGACATTCAGTTCACTTAGACTAATAGGAATTAATGGAAGGTAGAGGGATGGATACAAGTATAACAGGAGAATAACAATATTCCCAGTTAAACACACACACATATTATATGGGAACGCCTAAAAGTATGACAGAGGATGGCATATTTAGGCAATGATAAAAAATTAATTGTGGTTGGGCATGGTGGCTTAAGCCTTTATTCCCAGTTACTCAGAATCTGAAGCAGGACGATTGCAACTTTAAGGCCAGCCATGGAAGGTTAGTGAGACCCTGTATCAAAATAAGATTTTTTTTAAAAAGGGGGCTGGGAATGTGGCAAATGGTAGTGTTCGTCTAGCATATGTGAGGTACTGGATTCAATTCCCAGTACTTAAAACAAAATTACTGTTGCTAAAAAGTGGAGTTTAAGATAGTTGTAATAATGGAGAGAGTAGGGAGAGATGATAGATAGAGACAAGGGTAGAGAGATGAGGGTGAAAGATGAAGGTGGATCATTTAAGGAAACATAGTTATATTTAGGAGTTTGATGTTATTGAAAAGTTTTATTTTGAGTATTGTTTTAATCATATTGATACTTTAGAAAACTGTAAGACTATAGAAATAGTTCAAGGGCTTATAAATAGGAGTTAGTGGAAAGTAGAGGGTTTATAATGGACCAGGCACATTCTAGGTCCTTTCTGTGTGTTATTTTGCTTAACTAGAATTCATTTTTTTCTTATTTTATGAATTAGGAAATCAAATCTCTTAAGAGTAAATAACTTTGAAAGGTTACGTGACTAACAAGTAGTAGAGCTGGTCTTCTACAATCTGAAGACTATACTATGCTCCCCTTCCTCTCCAAAATCCATTGTTTTCTTTTAACTTTATTAGTTATTCTGAATTCAACCTGCAAATGAGTTTAATGCACTAAATACTTGGTTATGTAATTTAGTACTTAAAAATTTGTGTCAGAGGCTACTACAGACAACAGGCCGTTGTTGTACGTGATAGGGAAACATGAATTTGATATTTAATTTACAAAGTCCTTCATTATGAATTTAAAGTATAGTCTATTTTTGCCAATGTAGAAAATCTTAGTGATGAGTTAAGGAAAAAAAACCCAAAATATATGTCAAATTATTAGCATATTTCTGCTTTCCATGATTGGATTTCAACTAATTTATTGAAATAGTTTCCAGAAAGAATTCAAATTATAAATACTTTTTAATTTGATTGCCTTACATTTAATTTCATTACATTTGTTTCCCCCAATCTACTACCTTAGTTTAGATATTTATTATTTCATAATATTCTACTTATATGAGTTTCAGTTTCCTCAACTTTAAATTATTATCTAAGAGATAATAATATCTGTTGTGAAAGATATTTGAGTCATTATAAACATTTATATATAATAGTTTTTAAAAGATTCAGGATTAACTGGGAAAGCTAATAAAAATGTTGCAAAGTGATTTTGAGCTAAGGTAAGAATGATAAACATTGACATATAAACAATAAGATGATTTCTATTTTTAATTGACAGATAAAAATTACATGTATTTATGGTATGGCTTACGAAGTAATATTTTGATATGTGTGTACATTGTGAGATAATTGAATCAAGCTAGTCATTATATCCTTACGTGTAAAAAGATGATTTCTTTTTCAAAAGGATTCCAAAATAAACTGGGAGAGCTGATAACCACTTTTATAGACATAAAGGACTAAGCTTTGGAATTTCATTTCTAAAAGATACAGAAGAAAATAGAAATTCTGTTAACATTTTTAATCTAATGTCAATATTTTTTAGGCTCGAAGCATCGAATGTGAAATTTTAAAAAAAGATAAACAAATGAAGATATTAGAAAACAAGGTATTTTCAAATTGCAAAATGTTTGAGAATGAAAACTTTGTAGCAATATAAGTATTACTGCATTCTTGTGGGCCAGCCTTTATACATTCTGCACAAAGAAATCTCAGTTCTCCTTTGGAGGCTTTGGGGAATGTGGGATTTTTTTTTTTTTATTGCAGGTTTCTTTAAGGAACCCTAGATTTATGGGTTTTGTGGGGTGCTTCAAAGAGCAAAGTTTTATTAAAAACCTCATTAGTTTTCTCTTCCCTTCCCCCAAATTTCATACTCTAAGCAACTTATATTTATTGTAGACACTTAAAATGGCAAAATGCTTTTAGAAATCATCTTTCTCCCATTTCTAAAATTAGAGTTACAGAAAAATCTTTATTCTTGTTTATGTGAAGTGTTTTTACTTGTCTGGCTATTCATCCTAATTTACTTCTCCCCTGTCTGAACCTCATGACACAGTTGTCCTAAACATTTTCTATATAATTTTCCATATAATGCACAGTCCTCTGGAAAGTGTAGTTCACTTTCTGAAGTTCTGACTTCTAATTAATAATAAACAGCATTTTCTTCTACCTGAAGATTCTGGTAAATAAAATACTTAGTTTCTATGCACAATTTACTTAAGCATAAACGGGTAATTTAAAACCTTTTAAAGAATTTCTGGGCATTGTATCAAATATATTTTAAACATTTGAAAAGAAAGAAATAGTTTAATAAAAAGCCATGTAATTTTAATTGGCTCCAATTTTGAAGATAATTTAAATTTGAAAGTAGTGTAAGCTTAAATAAATTTGGTTTTCATTAGCTTATACAGACAGAAGGAATAGTGTTGGGTTGGGGACAGTCAAGATATCCAAAGTTAATAGCTCTTGTCTCCAAGAGACTCATCTCATAGGCAAAGACATCGACAAACTGAAGGTAAAAGGATGCGGAAAAAAAAACTTATCATTCACATGGATTTCATAAACAAGCAGGGGTTTCTGTTGTCACATCAGATAAAGTGGATGTGAAGTCAAAATTAATAAAAAGGGAAAAAGAAGGTTATTTCAGACTGCTTAAGGGAACTATACATCAACAAGATATAACAATCTTAAATATGCCCCAAACAATGGAACATTTACACATATCAAAGAAACCCTTCACAATTTCAAGAATCAAATAGATCACAACACAATAATACTGGGTGACTTTAACAGGCTTCTCTCACCAATTAGTAATTACAATTAATAATTTAGACTTTACAGACATATATAGAATATTTCATCCATCAGTGACTGAATGTACTTTCTTCTCAGTAGCACATGTGCCCTTCTCTAAAATGGACCTTATCTTAGGCCACAAAGAAACTCTTAGTAAATACAAAAAAAAAATAATACCCTGTACTCTATCAGATCATAAGAAATGAAATTAGAAATCAATGGTAAAATAGAAACTAGAAGCTACTTAACATCTGGAGACTAAATAATACTCTATTGAATGGTCAGTGATAGCTGAAGAAGTCAGGGATGAAATAAAAAATACGTAGTGGTAAATGAGTTCTGCGACAAAACATCAAAATTTTGGGGACATATGAAGGTGCTTCTAAGAAGAGAAAGTTTGTTGCATTGAGCTCATTCGTTAAAAGAACAGAAAGTCACTGAATAAACAACCTAATGGTATATCTCAAATTCCTAGAAAAAGAAGAACAAATCAACACAGAAAGCAGTAGAAGAAAGGAAATAATTAAAATTAGAGCTGAAATGAATGAGATCGAAACAAAAAAATTTCAGAATATCAACAACCAAAAAAGTTGGTTCTTTGAGAAAAATATAAATTCATAAACCATTAGTCAAGCTAACTAAGAGAAAGAAGACTCAAATTACTAAAATTCGTGATGAAAAAGGATTTATCACCATGGACACTACTAAAATACAGATGATAATCAAAAACTACTTTGAAAATCTGTACTCCAATAAAATAGAAAATCATGAATACATTGAGAAATTTTTAGAGACATATGACCTACCCAAATTGAATCAGAAGGACATAGAAAATTTAAACATAACAAAAGGAGTGAAATAGAAAACACCATCAGAAGCCTACCAACAAAGAGAAGCCTGGGACCAGATGGCTTCTCAACCGAGTTCTACCAGACCTTTAAAGAAGAATTTAACATCAATAATTCCTCAAATTATTCCGTGAAATAGAATAAGAAGAACCCTTCCAAACTCATTCTATGAAGGTAGTATTACCCTGATATCAAAACCAAAGACACATCAAGGAAAGAAAACTTCAAACTAATATACCTGATGAACATAGATGCAAAAATTCTTAATACAATACTGGCATATCACATAAAAATGTATTAAAAAGATAGTGCACTATGATCAAGTGGGATTTATTCCAGAGACACAAGGCTTGTTCAACATACAAAAATCAATAAACATAATTCATTACATCAATAGACTTAAACATAAGAATCACATGATTATCTCAATAGATGCAGAAAAAGCATTTGACAAAATTCAGCATCCATTCATACTCAAAACTGGTATCAAACTAAAAAGCTTCTTCACAGCAAAGAAAATGATCAATAATGTGAAGAGAGAGCCTATAGAATGGGAGAAAATCTTTGCCACTTGTACCTCAGAGCATTAATCTCCAAGAAATGTAAAGAACTAAAAAAACTTAACACCAGGAAAACTCCAGATAACCCAATAAATAAATGGGCAAAAGAACTGGACAGACACTTCACGTAAGAAGAAATATTAATGGCCAACAATATGAAAAAATGCTCAACATCTCTAGCAATTAGAGCAATGCAAATTAAAACTACACTGATATTTCATCTTACTCCAGTTAGAATGGCAATTATCAAGACTACAGGTAACAAATATTGGCAAGGATGTGGGGGAAAAAGGTACACTTATACATTGTTATGGGACTGCAAATTGGTACAACTCTGGAAAGCAGTATGGAGACTCCTTAGAAACTTGGAAAGGAACCACCATATGACCCAGTTATTCCACTGCTTGGTATTTGCTCAAAGGATTTAAAATTAGCGTATTACAGTGATACAGCCATATCAATGTTTATAGCAGCTCAATTTACAATCGCTAAGCTATGGAACCAAACTAGGTGCCCTTCAACAGATAAATGGATAAAGAAAATGTAGTATATACACAATGTATATATACACAATGGAATATGTATATATACGCAATGGAATATTACTCAGTCGTAAAGAAGAGTGAAATTATGGCATTTGATGGTAAATGAAAAGATTTGGAGGCTATCATGCTAAATGAAATAAGCTAATCCCCAAAAAATCAAAGGCCATATGTTCTCTCTGATATGTAAATGCTAACACTCAATAAGGTGGGGAGAGAAGAATAAAAATTCATTGGATTAGACAAAGAGGAAAAAGGGAAGGGAGAGGGATGGGACTAGGAAAGAGTAGAATGATCAGACATAATTTTCCTATGTTCATATATGAATACATGACCAATGTAACTCCACGTCATGTAAAACTGCAAGAATGGGAAGTTATACTCCATGTATGTATAATATGTCAAAATACACTCATCTGTCATGTCTATCTAAAAAGGAAAGAAAAAAAAAGAAAAATTAAAACAGAAGATATGTGTTGGTGGTTGTGAGTTGTAAATTATCTTTTTTTTTTCAATTATAAATAAAAGGTCTATGAGCCCTGAAGCTCGTCTTACTATATATAGTTCCTCTATTTTGAAATATGTGATTGCTGTAATTATTAATTTATTGAACATTGTCACTAAAAATTCAGTAAGGTTTAGTATTGCCTCAAAAAAACCCCAGAGTTAATAGCTCTGATATCATCATTTTAGTATACATATGTACATTTTAAAATATATAGTTATATCAGTTATAAAGATGGTTTTTCAGGAAAAGTTGGCAAGAGAAAAGTATAGTCATTAACTCTCAAGGGAAGTTTTTTTAAAATGTCATGTCAATTTTTATTGATCAATCTTTAAATTGTAAAATTATGCAGCTGAAACTAAAATCAAAGGAATTCATGGAGCTTTTATTTAGAATTGATAGTTGATAATTTTAAGACATACAAAATTGGTAGAAATACATCTTATTGAGTAACAAATAAGGGAATAGGTTTTGATGGCCTAAAGAACAGAGGACTAAGAAATACATGCAACATGTACTATCTCTGGCAAAGTAATAAATATCTTCATGATGCTTCAAACTGATGTTCTTTAAATTTGTTCAACATTTATTTGGTGAGACCAAATAAATTGTATTACTAGAAGTTCTTTTTCTTTTCTTTTTATTTATTTTTTAGTTGTAGTTGGACACAATACCTTTATTTCACTTATTTATTTTTATGTGATGCTTAGGCTCGAACCCAGGGTCTCGCACGTGCATGGCGAGCACTCTACTGCTGAGCCACAACCCCAGCCCCTAGAAGTTCTTTTTCAATTAAAGTTTGAATAGTTCTAACAATATGTTACTGAATGATCAATGGATTATGGAAGACATAAAGGAGGAAATCAAAAAATTCTTAGAGATAAATGAAAATACAGACACAACATATCGGAATCTATGGGACACAATGAAAGCAGTTTTAAGAGGGAAATTCATCGCCTGGAGATCATTCCTCAAAAGAAGGAAAAACCAACAAATAAATGAGCTCACACTTCATCTCAAAGCCCTAGAAAAGGAAGAGCAAAACAACAGCAAATGTAGCAGAAGGCAAGAAATAATTAAAATCAGAGCGGAAATCAACGAAATTGAAACAAAAGAAACTATTGAAAAAATTAACAAAACTAAAAGTTGGTTCTTCGAAAAAATAAATAAGATAGACAGACCCTTAGCCATGCTAACGAAGAGAAGAAGAGAGAGAACTCAAATTACTAACATACGGGATGAAAAAGGCAATATCACAACAGATGCTACAGAAATACAGAAGACAATTAGAAATTATTTTGAAAACCTATATTCCAATAAAATAGAAGATAGTGAAGACATCGATAAATTTCTTAAGTCATATGATTTGCCCAGACTGAGTCAGGAGGATACTCACAACTTAAACAGACCTTTAACAATAGATGAAATAGAAGAAGCAATCAAAAGACTACTAACCAAGAAAAGCCCAGGACCAGATGGGTATACAGCGGAGTTTTACAAAACCTTTAAAGAAGAATTAACACCAATACTTTTCAAGTTATTTCAGGAAACAGAAAAAGAGGGAGCTCTGCCAAATTCATTCTATGAGGCCAACATCACCCTGATTCCGAAACGAGACAAAGACACCTAAAAGAAAGAAAACTACAGACCAATATCTCTGATGAACCTAGACGCAAAAATCCTCAATAAAATTCTGGTGAATCGGATACAAAGGCACATCAAAAAAATTGTGCACCATGATCAAGTAGGATTCATACCTGGGATGCAAGGATGGTTCAATATACGGAAATCAATAAATGTTATACACCACATCAATAGACTTAAAGATAAGAACCATATGATCATCTCGATAGACGCAGAAAAAGCATTCGACAAAGTACAGCATCCCTTTATGTTCAAAACATTAGAAAAACTAGGGATAACAGGAACTTACCTCGACATAGTAAAAGCTATCTATGCTAAGCCTCAGGCTAGCATCATTCTGAATGGAGAAAAATTGAAGGCATTCCCTCTAAAATCTGGAACAAGACAGGGATGCCCTCTATCACCACTTCTATTCAATATAGTTCTCGAAACACTGGCCAGAGCATTAGACAGACAAAAGAAATTAAAGGCATAAAAATAGGAAAAGAAGAACTTAAAATATCACTATTTGCGGACGATATGATCCTATACCTAGAAGACCCAAAAGGGTCTACAAAGAAACTACTAGAACTAATAAATGAATTCAGCAAAGTGGCAGGATATAAAATCAACGCGCATAAATCAAAGGCATTTCTGTATATCAGCGACAAAACTTCTGAAACGGAAATGAGGAAAAACACTCCATTCACAATATCCTCAAAAAAAAATAAAATACTTGGGAATCAACCTAACAAAAGAGGTGAAAGATCTATACAATGAAAACTACAGAACCCTAAAAAGAGAAGTAGAAGAAGATCTTAGAAGATGGAAAAATATACCCTGTTCATGCATAGGCAGAACTAACATCATCAAAATGGCGATATTACCAAAAGTTCTGTATAGGTTTAATGCAATGCCAATCAAAATCCCAACGGCATTTCTTGTAGAAATAGAGAAAGCAATCATGAAATTCATATGGAAAAACAAAAGACCTAGAATAGCAAAAGCAATTCTAAGCAGGAAGTGTGAATCAGGTGGTATAGCGATACCAGATTTCAAACTATATTACAGAGCAATAGTAACAAAAACAGCATGGTACTGGTACCAAAACAGGCAGGTGGACAAATGGTACAGAATAGAGGACACAGAGACTAATCCACAAAGCTACAACTATCTTATATTTGATAAAGGAGCTAAAAGCATGCAATGGAGGAAGGATAGCATCTTCAACAAATGGTGCTGGGAAAACTGGAAATTCATATGCAACAAAATGAAACTGAATCCCCTCCTCTCGCCATGCACAAAAGTTAACTCAAAGTGGATCAGGGAGCTAGATATCAAATCAGAGACTCTGCGTCTGATAGAAGAAAAAGTTGGCTCCGATCTATATATTGTGGGGTCGGGCTCCAAATTCCTTAATAGGACACCCATAGCACAAGAGTTAATAACAAGAATCAACAAATGGGACTTACTTAAACTGAAAACTTTTTTCTCAGCAAGAGAAACAATAAGAGAGGTAAATAGGGAGCCTACATCATGGGAACAAATTTTTACTCCTCACACTTCAGATAGAGCCCTAATATCCAGAGTATACAAAGAACTCAAAAAATTAGACAATAAGATAACAAATAACCCAATCAACAAATGGGCCAAGGACTTGAACAGACACTTCTCAGAGGAGGACATACAATCAATGAACAAGTACATGAAAAATGCTCACCATCTCTAGCAGTCAGAGAAATGCAAATCAAAACCACCCTAAGATACCATCTCACTCCAGTAAGATTGGCAGCCATTATGAAGTCAAACAACAACAAGTGCTGGCGAGGATGTGGGGAAAAGGGTACTCTTGTTCATTGCTGGTGGGACTGCAAACTGGTGCGGCCAATTTGGAAAGCAGTATGGAGATTTCTTGGAAAGCTGGGAATGGAACCACCATTTGACCCAGCTATTGCCCTTCTTGGACTATTCCCTGAAGACCTTAAAAGAGCGTACTACAGGGATACTGCCACATCGATGTTCATAGCAGCACAATTCACAATAGCAAGACTGTGGAACCAACCCAGATGCCCTTCAATAGATGAATGGATAAAAAAAAGTGGCATTTATACACCATGGAGCATTACGCAGCACTAAAAAATGACAAAATCGTGGAATTTGCAGGGAAATGGATGGCACTAGAGCAGATTATGCTTAGTGAAGCTAGCCAATCCCTAAAAAACAAATACCAAATGTCTTCTTTGATATAATGAGAGCAACTAAGAGCAGGCAGGAAGAGCAGGAAGAAAAGATTAACATTAAACAGAGACATGAGGTGGGAGGCAAAGGGAGATAAAAGGGAAATTGCATGGTAATGGAGGGAGACCCTCATTGCTATACAAAATTACATATAAGAGATTGTGAGGGGAATGGGAAAATAAACAAGGAGAGAAATGAATTACAGTAGATGGGGTAGAGAGAGAAGATGGGAGGGGAGGGGAGGGGGGATAGTTGAGGATAGGAAAGGTAGCAGAATACAACAGTTACTAATAGGGCATTATGTAAAAATGTGGATGTGTAACCGATGTGATTCTGCAATCTGTATTTGGGATAAAATTGGGAGTTCATAACCAACTTGAATCTAATGCATGAAACATAATATGTCAAGAGCTTTGTAATGTTTTGAACAACCAATAAAAAAAAAGTTTGAATAGTTCTTTTTCAAGTCTGCTCAATCATCTTCTAAGGCTTCCAATTTCTTATTTATAGTTTCAAGTCTTTCATTTCTCTATATTTATTTTATATTCTGTATATGGCAATTCTAATATCTGAAGTCTTTTTAGGTCTGATTCTGATCTTTGTTCTTTCTTCTGGTTTTTACTCATTAAACTTTAGGTTTTGGGTTTTTATAATTCCCTGGGCTTTTGTTTGAAGTTAATAATCCTCCCAAAAAGATTTTCTTGAAAGCATTACTAACCAGGAGCTATTTAAATTCTCCATCTTTAGTTTTTATGGACCATATAGTTGGCATATAAAACCATATGAGCCTACCTTATGGTTATGAATTTTCAGCAAAGGTCTATTCAAGGACAAGGTGAAGACAAATGAGTTTTCCTTACTGTCCACTTTTATATGGCAGTTTTATTTCTTGTTTATCTTTTCATTGAATGTGTAGTTCTTTGAATTCCTAGCTTAATGCAGTACTGTCTTATTGGATTTCCTACCAGTAGTGAGCCTTATGTTTGTCTTATGTCTTTACTTGGGTGGGTTCAGCAGATATCCTTAGAACAAATGTTAAATTGGTGTTAACCTGAAACGTACTAGTATAACTTTACAGTCATTTAAAATAACCAGATTCCTACTTTTTGTCTTTTATTTTAGAATTATTCTTAGAAGGATCTAAGTGGCTTTTCTGTTAAAAATGGAAATACTTTTTATTTTAAATAATAAAAATTATATGAATTTGATATATAATTATAAAATTATAAAAAGTTTTATATTTGTATAAATATCCCAATAAAACTAATATGAAAATTAGTGAAACATTTCTCACTTGTTTAGCTTTTCTTTTTTATTTTTCCTTTGAGTTTTCTGAAAGAGAACATAAGTGGTCTTGGGACATGTAAAAATTTAGATAAAATAAATCACTTTTAGATAGAAACAATAGTGCCATTTATTATTTAGTCTTAGAATATTAGCTGAATATGAATACAGGGGAGTGTTGTAAGAAAAATATTTAACAAAGTACTTTGTGTTAATGAAAGTGATTTTAAAATTTGTTGAGATTTGTTTTACTTTGATGGAAATTACAACAGCTTACATATCTGTGATGCTTTGGGGCCTCTTAGAAATGCGTACTGTGCTGCTTGTTTGCTTTTTTTTTTTTTTTTTTTTTTTGAGTTGAAGTCTAATTTTAGTGTTGTCCAGGCTGATCTAGAACTCTTGAGCTCAAGTGATTTTCCTATCTTAGACTCCCGAATGCTGGGATTATAGGTGTGCGCCATCATACCTGGCTCTGTGACTCTGTAATGCTTTTGTTCCAAATATTTCTTGAGCTAATATCTTGTAATCTAGTTCTGCCTGCATCCCCATATTAAATAATCTTACAAACTGAAATATCAAAATTGGTTTATTTGGAATTTTAGTGAGAGGAATTATAATTTAGTTAGGAGAAGATAGAATATCACAGTATTCTTCTCTCCCAAATGTAAGTTTAAGGATCTCAGAAATGAGAAAGGTAAAATAATAAGGAAGAAAACAAATTATAATTATTTTTATTTCTGAATGTAGCTTTTCACAACTTATTTAATAATATGATTCCAACCTTTTGTATAAGGTGATTAAGAGGCACATATTACTTAAAGTAGTTGAATTCAGATACTTTTTAAGGAGATTAAGAAATGTTAAAAATTTCAAATTTATATTGAGGTTTTATTTATTAAAATGTATAATTTTTATGTAATTTTTACATTTATGGAATTATTTAACAGCACGACTTTTTAAGTGAGTTTCATATTACCTGAATGTAATATTTTTATTAATCTGAAAAGGTTTATTTTGACTGGAATATTAAGTACAATGAGTAAATAATGAATTTCTCATAATTCTGCAGTGTAATAATTTAAGGAAACAAGTTGAAAATAAAGGCAAGCACATTGAAGAGCTTCAGCAGGAGGTGGGTACTATTTATAAATATTCTCAAAGTCAAACCAATATTTTCGCTATAGTTTTAGAGAGTGATACTTTCATTTCCATTAGTAAACTTAAGTCAGTGGCAGTATAAGTTTGAGTCACTTTAGTACTAAATACAATTTTTTGTTTTTAATTTTTAACAGAATAAGGCCTTGAAAAAAAAGGGTACAGCAGAAAGCAAAGAACTGAATGCTTATGAAATAAAGGTATTTGACATTTTAATTTTTTAAAACACTAATAAATACATGAGAATTTAGAAATGTTATGTCATTTATTTATACTGTAACAGTTACTTTCAAAGTTTTTCATCTTTCTGGATTAAAATCAATTCTTAAAATTGTAATAGAATGATCACTTACGTTTTGGTTGAGTTAGAATTATCAGAACAACTTAAAAATATATGTGGGTATTCTCTATGTGTGTATGTGTTCATCATCCTTACCCATATATTTAAAAGTGAATAAGCTGGGGGAGGAGCCAGCTTATTACAATATGATGGGATTTGTTGTTACATATCCTGTGGTCTAAGAGATTTGAGAGACATCAACTTTGTAGAAAACAAACTAAAGCCCTAGTAAGCATATGATGTCAGGGTCACATTTGGTTGTTTTATTCCTAAGTCTTTAAATAATGGTTGATGTTTAGTAAGTATTAAATACATAGCTTGTTTATTTTTATGATTTGTAGTACAAGGTTTTGAACCCAGGGCCTTGCACATATTAGTCAAATGCTCTACCACTGAACTATATACCCAGTCCTCTTTTCATTTTATTATGAGACAAGGTCTCACTAAATTGGTCAGGCTGTCCTCAAGTTTGATGTTCTCTTGCCTCATCCTCCATACTCTCTGGAGTTATAGGCATGTGCCACCATGCCTGGCAATAGTTTTTGAATCTTGAGTGGAAAATAGTGGTTCTCAGTGTACTAAATGTGTGCTTTTTGGGAAGTAATAAAATTTTTACATATTTTTAAAATATGTAAATGTAATTAAAAATTAAGACAAATCTCATAAACTATTGACATTATATAGAAAAGTAGCTGATACATAATTTTGCACTTTTACTTCTGGGTAGAGTCAGGAGAAATGTAACAGCATTATTTGTAGTAGCTCCAAACTGAAAATAAAAGATATTCATCAATAGTATAAAGATCAGACAATAAAAAATGACCCCTGGATAATCGAAATGTTGAAATTTTAACAGATAAAATCTATATGCAGCTATTATAAACATGTTTAAAGACAGAAATGGTTATAATGAAATATTAAAATAGAGAATCTCAGTAAATAAACAAACTATAAAGGGAATTTAGGATTAAAATCTAGAACTAAAAGTAAAATATTATAAAACAAACAAAACAATTTCGTATGGTCCTAATAATATATTTAGACAAATAAAGTGTTAGTGCAATTGAAGCTGGATAAACAGAAATCATCCAATTAGAGGAACATGGAAACAGAGTAAAAAACAAAATGGGTAATAGTGTCTTAGTGGTCTTGTAGCATATTATCAAGTTTTAAACATATAATTAGAGTATCTGTGAAAGAGGAGAGAAAGAATAGGGCAAAAGAAAATCAACTAAGGAATTTCTCAAAAATTTCTAGCTTTTAATAAAAACCATTAACTTGAAGATCCATGGCACTCGACAAATTCAAAGAAAGATAAATGGAAAATCATACCTAGGTACTTAGTTGAAATACCAAAACCAAAGAGAAAGGCAAACTTTTAAAATTAGATAGAAAAATGTCACACTGTAGATCAGTGACACAAATTAGACTAACATTGTATCATAACAATGAAAGCTAGATGTCAGAGGAATGACATTTTTGAAATGCTGAAAGAAAGATACCACGAACTGAGAATTCTGTATGCAAGTAAAAATATCTAAGTTAAGTTGAAATGACCTCAAAATTTGCACTGTAAAGAATACTAAAGGAATTTCTTCAGACTGCAAAAAATGACATCAACTAGAAACTTGGATCAATAAAAGGAATGAAAAGCACTAGAAATGGTAAATATGTATGTGAATATTAAAGGCTATATATTTTTCTTCTTAATTTTTAGAAATACATATGCACACACACAAACATGTATATACACACGTATATCTGCTTTAAATGTTTTCAAAAAGTTTGAAATTGTAAGAAAATTTGCTATTATAGAGTTTATAGATGTGTAACAACCATAGCACAAGGGATAGGGAAGTAAAATAGCCACTTTGTTCCAACAGTTTTGCATTATATACACAATATTATACAATATTCTTTTATCCCCACATTTTTATTGGTGCGTTATAGTTGTACATAATGATGGGATTTGATGTTACATATTTGTACATGTACATGATATAACAATATAATTTGGCTACTATCATGCTCAGGCACTCCCCCTCCACATTCTTTTGTTCCTTTTCCTCTACTGATTTCCCTTTGATTTTCATGTGATCTTATCCCACCTTTCTCTTTCCTCTCCAACTTCTGCATATGAGTTTGACTTATTTTGCATAACATAATAGTTTTTAATTCTATCCATTTTCCTGCAAATGACATAATTTCATTTTTCTTTATGACTGACTAAAAGAAAACTTCATTTTATATATATCACACATTTTCTTTACCCTTTTAAACATTGATGTGCATCTAGTGTGATTGCATAGTTTGTTGTGAATAGTGCTGCTATAAACATGGATATGCATGTATCGCTTTAGTATGATGATTAATATTATTTATATTCTTGATGATTGCCATTCTAACTTGTGTGAGAGATGAAATCTAAATGTAGTTTTGATTTGCATTTCCCTAATTACTAATGATGTTTAACATTTTTTTCATGTATTTGTTGGCCATTTGTATTTCTTCTTTTTTATTATTAATTTTTTAGTTGTTGGACACAATATTTAATTTATTTTTTATGTGGTGCTGCTGAGGATCAAACCCAGGGCCTTGCATGTGCTAGGCAAGCACTCTACTGCTGAGCCACAACCCCAGTCCTGTATTTCCTCTTTTGAGAAATGTCTGTTTAATTCACTTGGCCACTTATTAATTGGGTTATTTGACTTTTTTGTTGCAAATTTTTTTAGTTCTTTATATATTCTAGATATTAATTATTTGTCAGAAGAATAGCTAGCAGAGATTTTCTCCCATTCTGTGGGTTCTTTCTTCACATTTCTAATTATTTCCCTTGATGTGCAGAAGCTTTTTAATTTGATTCCACCATGTGTTGACCCTGTGTTTTCTTTTAGGGGTTGCATAGTTTCTGGCCTTATTTCTAGGTTTGTGATCTATTTTGAGTTGAAGGGTCTAGTTTCATTCTTGTACATATGGATAACCAGTTTTGCCAGCACTATTTGTTAAAAAGGCTGTATGTTTTTCTAATGTATGTTTTTGGCACCTTTATCTAGGAGTCAGACAACTGTAGATGTATGGGTTCGTCTCCGTGTCTTATTTTGTACCATTGGTTTATGTATCTGTTTTTATGCCATTGTCATGTAGTTTTTGTTACTGTAGCTCTGTAGTGTAATTTGAAATCAGGTATTGTGATGCTTCCAGCATTGCTTTTTTGGATTAGAATTGCTTTGCCTATTCTGGGTCTTTTATTCTTCCAAATTAATTTTAGGACTGTTTTTTCTAGTTCTGTGAAAAATGTCATTAGTATTTTGATGGGGATTGCAGTGAATGTATATATTGCTGTGTCTTCTTAAATTTCTTTCTTCAGTGTTCTCTATTTTTTATTGTATAGGTCTTTCACCTTCCTGGTTAGATTTATTCCTAGGTATTTTGGTTTTAGTTTGAGACAATTGTGGATAGAATTGTTTTTCTGATTTCTTTCTCAGCAGATTGGTATATAGGAAAACTATTGATTTTTTTATGCTATTTTGTAACCTGCTACTTTGCCAACTTTGTTTATTAGCTCCAGGAGTCTTTTGATGGAGGTTTTTTTTTTTTTTTTTTTTTTTTTATGGACCTTCTAGGTGCAGGCTCATTTCTTCTGCAAACAGTGATAATCTGACTTGTTTTCCTATATTTATTCCTTTTATATCCTTCCCCAGCCTAATTGCTCTGGCTTGAATTTTGAGCACTATATTAAGTAGGAGTGGTGAGAGTGGACATCCCAGTCTTTAAAGAAATGCTTTCAGTTTTTCCCAATTACTGTGAGTTTGGGTTTGGGGTTTTCATATATAACCTTTATGATGTTGAGGTTGGTTCCTTCTGTCCCTGGTTTCTTTAGTGTTTTTCTCATGAATGGGTGCTGAATTTTGTCAAAGGCCTTCTCTACATCCATGAGATGACTAAGTGATTTTTGTCCTTAATTCTATTTATATGATAAATTACACTTATTAATTTGTGTATATTAAACTATTCTTGTATCTTTGAAATAAAACCAAATTGCTCATTAAGTTTTCTTAATATGTTGTTTAACATGGTTTGGTAATATCAAGTATTTTTACACCTAAGTTCAAATGGATATTGGTTTGTAGTTTTCTTTCCTTGTTGTGTCCTTTTTTGGTTTTCTCTGAGTAATACTAGTTTCACAAATTCATTCATTACCAAGTTTCTTTACCAAATTATTCCATATTTTATGGAATAATTTGAGGAATATTGGCATTAGTTCTTTTTTAAAGGTTTGGTAGAATTCAGCTGAGAATCTATCTGGTTCTGGACTTTTCTTTGTTGGAAGGCTTTTAAAAAATATATTATTTTTTGTAGATGGTTACAATACCATTTATTTGTATATTTATTTATTTTTGTGGTGCTGAGCATTGAACCCAGTGCCTCACACTTGCTAGGCAAGCGCTCTACCACTGAGCTGTAACTCCAGCCCCTGGAAGGCTTTTTATTACTGCTTCTATTAAACTACAAGTTACTGGTCTGTTTTCTATGTCTGTCAAGTTTTCTATGTCCTCTTGATTGAGTTTTAGCAGATCTTATTTGTCTAGAAATGTATCCGTTTCTTCTAGGTTTTTCAGTTTATTAGAGTATAAGTTTCCAAAATAGTCCCTAATGATTTGCTAGATTTCTGTGATGTCTATGGTATTTTCTTTTCATCTCCAATTTTATTTGTTTTGGTTTTCTGTCTTTTTCTGTTGACTAAGGGCTTACCATTTTAAAAAAATATTTTCAAAGAAACAACTCTTTGTTTTTTTTGATCCTTTGTATTGTTTTTTTTTTTTTTGTTTTAATTTTGTTGATTTTTGGCTCTGTTGTTAA